TAATTCTTCACAAACTTCTTTCATTTTATTCCACTAAAAGAAGTAAAAGAGCTTAAAAGACAACGGTATTTTTTTCTGAGTGCCCAGCCACTGATAAAAGTGCCACACTTTCCTACAGCAGGTTAATTAATCTTTATGCAGTTCTGTATGTAAACTCCATTCACTAAAGCTTATTGGATTGGACTCTGCACCTGAATCCTGCACAGCCAGATTATGGCTTTCATCCTCATCTTCAGTGGAAGTGCTGTTAAAAAGTCAGTATTTTATCTTGAATAGTACCAAAATACCAGTCTGATCAGGTCTGACCTTGGAAAGTTACGGGGAAGCTTACTAGGGATGGAAAGACCTCATCGCAAAGTTTCAGTCCATTGCGACCTTGGACTGCGTTACTGCAAGTCAGATGGAAATCTTCTGGTCTTCTCTGCACTGGTCAATGCGCAGCTGAAGATGTGGGCCAGCTGGAGATCAGCTAAAAAGGGAAAAATCAGACTGCTGGTAGATGTAAAATCTATAGTAAGGAAGGAGAGACTGAGTCACAGACCTAGAGAAAAGTGAAGACTGTTAGTCTTTGGGTTTGCAAAAAAAAGCTGCTGCAAGAAGAGTGGGAATAAACAGTTCTCCTTATCCGCCGAGAGCAGGAGAAGGAAAAGCAGCTTTGAAGGTTCTGTCATTTGTGAAAGTTTTAGATGATTTAATTGTGGACTTAAATTTTTTGGAAAATATTTGTTTTCTCTTTCAAGTTCTTCCTGGAATCATCTCTTTAAACTAATGAGACATTTGAGCTAGACATTAGGAAGCCTTTTCAGGAACCATTTTCTAATGATGATGGTGACTACATCCCGTCACACATGGCTACGAAGGTCAGGTGAGTCAGCAAACGTCTGCTGGGAGAGCTCTGGGCATCGCTGACCCCGCCGTGGCCTGGGGGAAGCAGGGACTGACCTCAGCAAGCCCCACTCAGTCCTGTTCCCTATCACTCCGGCAACTCTGAAGATTTACTTTCACCCTGGAGGTAATCAGTCAGTCGTGATTTTGACCTACAGTTTAATGCGCTCTCTTGCTATAGTTACAGACATCCTCCTTCTGGTTATGCTCCCTGCTGTGACTAATGGCATCTTTGCAGTTAAAGAGGTGGGTTTTAAGGAAAAGCATCCAAATTTCAGTGCTGTTACCGAGATTACAGTTTTAGCAAAAACAACGGCACAGCAGTCTCTGCTATGGCCTGTGAACTTGACATTTTTCAGGTGCGAATGTGTACGTGTTTATACACCTTTCTCAAAACCCCTAAATACACAGGAAGCAACAATTTTTCTGTTTATGAAATGGGTCGTCAGTCTCGGTATTCACTATTCACAGTGAAGTCTGTTTAAAGTTCACTTACTCCATTCATACAAAATATTCTTGATCAGCCAAAATTTTTTGAAAATGGAATTGTTCTGCACAAATGCAAACAAAAATGGAAATGAGTTTGCAAAGAATCAGGAACTGAATACCACACAAGATACCGAGATACTAAGCAAGCTTTACAAATACGATCCTTCCAGCATGGTTTTCTGGAAGATGTTTAAGGGTGATATGAGGAACCATTTCTTAAAGATAAAACCATAAGGATTTTAAAGGTATTTTGCAAAATACCTCAACCATTAATAAATATTTCTTTTGAAAACACTGCAGTGTTTGAAGGTAGTTCTCCAAACTGAAGAATAGGTTTTTAGATTAAGTGATGAGACCACTTTAAATAGATTCAATTGATTTTTTTGTGTGTGTGGATGCTGAAGAAAAATTTGGGAAAATGCTACATTTGTTTAAATCTCCTTCCCTTATTTTTGCTTTCTAAATAGGCTCCCTGTATCTGTTCACCTTGAAGCCCAATTAAATTCAAGGGCAGCAGGTCACAAAAGCTAATGTCACTTGACCAAAATTTCTACTCTGTGTGGCAAGAAAATCAGCAGAAAGTAGCTCCAGTTTTGCTTTTCTTTGCTAGGTAAGGCTGTAGATGTCATCTGGATGCTAATTGGAGTCATTGTACAATCGTGTTAGATGCCCTGTTCTCATTCAATATTGTGGCAGGTAACATAGTACCTGTGTTCTTCAAGAAAGGATCAATGACACAAAGGTAGTTTTCTGCTGCAGGGAGAAAACAGACAATTAGAAAATCACTATTTGTATTCAATCTCTGTTTACACTGGTTGACCACATCTCTCGCAAGCGCGCATTTCTCTCTAGCTTCAGAAATACACAAATATATCAGCACCAGAAGTCTCCTCTCGTTTTACTTTGCAATTCAGGTTTGCTTTATTAATCAACGCAAGATGCATTCATTGAACTGGATTAATCCTGCATAAGTAATTTTGAAA